TCCAGACTAACTGCTACAGGCGGCAGGGAGCCGGTAGTTCGAATAAGGTCAAAAGCTGCTCTATTTATCAAGAAATCCTGGATACAAAAGACATCTTAGCTGAAAATCCTGAAATTACAACAGAGGAAAATGGCATTGTAAGCCTTAGAATATATCCCTCATGCTGATCATCTTGCAGAATGAAGAAGGATTGCAACACCTTATCTAATAATGCAAAGCACTGAGAGTTAACCATTCCTAAGCAAGTTCACAGCCCAAATATAGGTGTTTGGTTGAAGCTCTTACTTGTGGGCCAATATGTTGAGGAAAGAAGGCAGAGGAATACCCAAGACATATATATGCAGACGATCCCTGGGTGATCACATTGGCACTCTTATTACTATATAGGCCTTGTCCTGTATGTTCTTCTTAATCACCTTTTACAGAATTGGGATTGGTGGAAATATATGATACAGAAATATCAGGCTCCAGAAAACAGGAAGAATCAGTTGTACTGAATGAAGAACGTTGGATGTTTCCTGTTGTCTTGAGTGACAAATATACACTTACAAATGTTCTCCACCTCTGTATTAGCAGGCTTGTAGATGCTGATCAAATTCCCACTTCCTTAGAGCATTGTCTGGGATAGAACTTTGGCCTCTCCTGCAAGTTGAACAGGATTGACACTTCTCAGGAACTTTTGCCCTGAGGGATACAGTAGGAAGACTAAAATGTGAATGTGACAACAAATCGTCTTAAATCTGACATCTGTGACTTTTCTGGAAAGTATTAATTTCTGGTAGAATCCTTTGCCTCTTGCTTTGAGATAGCTAATTCTTTGTGTCTGGGATTGTGCCCTTTTAGAGATACTTTTGCATGACATTTGAGAACACTGTGGGTCCAGATAGCCAAGTGAATAGAAGGGTTGATACTGAAGATAGTGCTAAATGATAAAATCAGAATGGAGATATTAGTGATCTGAAGTGATGTGCATAGGACATAACTATCTTGTGAATCTACTGACATCTCCTGGCTATTTTGCTGGGAGGAGAGTTTTTAATTTACTAAAACAGATTGGATCACCTGAAATCCAGAACTGGTCTCTCTTTGAAGATTATGAAATTCAGAAAGTAGATATCTAGATTATTTTGTTTGGTAAGGCTTGAAATCACAGCCTTGGCTGATAACAAGTGCAATATAGCTGATAAAATTCTCTGCTTTTTTTCTGCAAAAGAGAGATGAAATTCAGTCAGAAGGGAAAGTATTTCTATAAAATCTATGCTGGATCCCATTAGGACTACCAAAAGGACTCACGTGTCCATTATCTTAGTCCAGTCACTGAATAGGTCAACTTCTTCCAGCTATTTTGGCTTCTCGAAGATTTAGAAAGCGCTCTATAAAGTCAAAAGGCACTTCCGTATGGATTTGTTGTCTCACTGAAAACCAGAATCCCTTATGTAGTTGGCATGAAAGGCTTGAGACACCCCATACTTTCCCTTTTCCCCTTTAAACTTAGGTGCAGAAAAACTGGGAGTATGACATTCATGAGGACAGGAAAATAAAGAGATCAGAGAGGATTTTTTTTCCAGTGATGGAGGGAACACTTATGGTCTGAGAAACACTTAAGGGCCTGGTCCAAGGAATAATCAAACAACATGCCTCCTTTTGTATGGTAAAGACAACAGCTGACATTTTATACCTAAGTTGGAAGACCAGGGACATAGTCAGATCGCCTACGGCAGGCCATGTTTTTAACTGTCAACCTGATTGGATTCTCTGCTGTATCATGGATGAAATTAACTACAATCCTACACAGATTGTGTGTCCTCTGCATTGCCCCGGATGGGACCCTTTCCTTTCTGTCTTTTGATAGTTCTTCCTCCAGCCATACTAATAAGGCTCTAGTGGAATAGGTGGAATAGATGGATACTCCAAGTTGAGCTGCTGCTAATTTGAAAGATCTTTTAATTGCAGCCTCAGCCTTTTTATCAGCAGCATCTTTGGGGACAACATCTGAATTAACAGGCAAAGAAGAGTTAGCATCACCAGTGACCCAAAACTCTATCTACCGTGGGTAAGACCCCCCCACTGAGAAGTTTTATCCACTCAAAGAGGGTACAGCTTAGATAGAACTGTGATTGCTACATGTTTTGCCCCAGGATTACTCCAACTTCTAAAGATCAGTTTTTCCACAACTGAATGGTTGGGAAGGGCCTTATCCATCTTTTCTTCTTCAGAGAGGGTGGGCAATTCTTCACTACTCTCTTAATATGCTTGAATTCTCCATGTTAAATTTATGTGCAGCTTCAGGCTCCTCTTATTCCTCCATGGAGCAAGCAGGGGACACTTCAAATGTCCTGTCAGCCTTAGACTCCTCTTTCTTAGAGGCTGCTAGAACCTTTAAACTGCCCATACCGTCAGAGACCAAGGCCAACTGCTTCAGAGGAAACCAGTGCAAATTGCATGTTATACCCTGG